AAATGTTCTCTGACGGGTGAATGATTAAATAAACAGCAGTCCAGCGATAACATGGAATACTACTCGGCAAACAAAAAGGAACTAATCACTTACACATCCAACACCCTGGCTGAATCTCTAGGTAAGTATGCTGAGGGAAAGAGCCAATCCCAACAGGTTACGCACCATGTGCTTTCATGTATGTAACCTTTTAAATGACGAAACTATGGAAGACAGGAGAGGAGTTGCCAGGTGTTAAGGAAGGGGTGGAGGCGGGAGGGAAGAGAGTGTGACTATAAAAGGGCAACATGAGAGATCCCTGTGGTGATGGAAATTCCTGTCTCGACCTTATCAACACCAGCATCCTGGTTATGATCATGTGTTACCATCACAGTTCTACAAGATGTTACCACTGGGGGAAACTGGGTAAAGGGTATAGGGGACTCTCTCTGTATTACTTCTAACAACTGCATATCAATGTACAGTTACCTCCAAAAAATGTTACAAGAAAAGATGAAAGAAAAGACCCATCAGAGGGAGACACAGATGCTGGGGATAATTAGGTAAGGAAGGAAGCAGGAGCAGAAGGGCGAAGAGGAGGCAGAGCCAGTGGAGAGCAGGGGTAGGCATCTGAGCCTGGATCCTGGGAGAGAGAAAGCAGGAGGGGACTTGAGGTGATGCTGCTGTCCACGAGGAGAGCCAAACAGTGTGCTGTCCCCTGGCCTGAACCTGTCATGTGATGCTATGTCATGGAAGGGAACCCAGGCAGAGCATGCAGCCTATGCAGTAATCCCCCCTTATCCACAGGGGACAGGCGCTAAGACCCCAGGGGATGCCTGAAACCATGGATGGTGCAGACCCCGATGTACACTATGGTTCTCCAATACAGGTACTAACGGGCAGGTAGCATTTTCAGTACGGATGCACTAAAACAAGTGATAATTTAGGATGGAGCAGGAAGGTGTGATATTTCAACATGCTGCTCAGAATGGCGCTCAATTCAAAACTTATGAATTACTTATTTCTGGAATTTTCTGACCACAGCTGACCTCGGATAACTGAAACCTTATAAAGTGAAAATGTGGGTAAGGGGGGG